CACAAATGCTTTGCTGCATACCTCGGTTGTAACGAGTGGTTATTTCAGTCAAAGTTGCTCTTCTATCAGCCTGAATCAGTCGGCCCATTCTCCTCTGACCTCTAGCATCAACAAGGCATTTTCGCCCACAGGACTGCCGCATACTGGATGTTTTTCCCTTTTCACACCATTCTTTGTAAACCCTAGAAATGGTTGTGCGTGAAAATCCCAGTAACTGAGCAGATTGTGAAATACTCAGACTGGCCCGTCTGGCACCAACAACCATGCCACGCTCAAAATTGCTTAAATCACCTTTCTTTCCCATTCTGACATTCAGTTTGGAGTTTAGGAGATTGTCTTGACCAGGACCACACCCCTAAATGCATTGAAGCAACTGCCATGTGATTGGTTGATTAGATAATTGCATTAATGAGAAATTGAACAGGTGTTCCTAATAATCCTTTAGGTGAGTGTATATATATATATATATATATATATATATATATATATATATATAAATTAATACTTGTATTCAGCAAGGACACATTAAATTGGTGAGAAGTGACGGTGAAGACTTTTATAATGCTACTTTAATCTTTTATAATGCTTTTATAATGTATTTCAAATAAATTCTGCTCTCTTGAAAATGTTTTTTTTTTTTCAATGTACCATGGTTACCAATACAAATATTAAGTAGCGCAACCGTTTTTAACATCGATAATAATAAGAAGTGTTCCTTAAGCATTTGAGCAATTCAGCTTTGCCATCACAGGAATACGTTGCATTTAAAAATATACAAAATATAAAGTTAGTTATTTTAAATTGTTTTTATGGTATTTTTGATCAAAAGCATATGGAAGCCCATTTCTGCCACTTATGCTCTGGTAAGTCATAAATATGACAGAAAAAGTCAAAATAATGACATGCTAATTCATACTGTATTATGAGATGAGAAGTCAAAATGATCACTTTAAAAGTCATAACTATGACAAGAAGTCAAAACTAATTAGTCATTGACTAATTTCATAATATTTTATAATTCTGACTTTGTATGTGATCATTTCAACTTTTCGAAGTCATAATTTCAACTTAGTTGCCCGTTATCACAGAGAAGGCTTAAACCTAGTCCCAGGCTAAAATGCAAGTTTGAGCTGTCTTAACTGAAAGTAAAAAGCACTGGCATATCTTAAAACATGCCAGTGCCATTATTTTGTCCTAGGAGATACACCAGTAATGTTTTTAAAGTCATAATTTTGACACTTCATTTCCTAATGACTTAGGGCCAGATTTACTAACAGCTTGCGCCAACGCAAACCCTCTTTTGGCATTTAAAAAAATACTGTCAGGATTTACTAAAGACACGCAATTTTTGCGGCTGACCTTATTGTGGCTGACCTTATTTGCATATGCATTTGTAGGATTTCCCTTTCAAATGCAATATTTATGGGAGGAGAGAATTTAAATGAATCATGCAACATGATTTACTAAGGTTTGCGCTAGTCAATTGACTGGTTTTTGTACCATTATTTAATATCCAAAAAAGCGTGTCTTAAGCCACTTTGCACCTGCACCGTTGTCTTAATGGAATGCGTTGGTCATTATGGAACTGATCAGGCTGTGTCAGTGTTCATTAATATGTGCATTGTCAGTAAATCACCCGCAGAACTTTCCACTTCCATCTGTGCTTTTATGGGATTGCGGTCTTGCACTTATTTTCCCTGTTTAGTAAATCTGTCCCTTCATAATTAATTTAAGCTCATAATTGACTTAGTATCTCATAATTTTGACACTTTATGTCATAATAATGATTTACCAGAGCATTTTTTTTCTTCTATGTGGCAAAAATGGGCTTCCTTAAAGGCATCTTTCTGTCAGAAATTTTAACTTAAACAAACAAAAAAACATTCATGTATCATTACATTAGTAGCGTTAGGCAGGATTTAATGCTGTCAATCAAGTGCTTCCTCCAATGAGCATTTCCCTGATTTTATCAGTGTGATTTTCACTTTATTTCCACAGAGTGAGATAAAACTCATGACAGCTGGAATCAAGACTAGCCTCAGGCAGATTCTGTTCCATTACCAGTGCAGCTAGAGAGATGCCTAACGTACAAACCTGGTGTATCTAGACATTCCTGATAATATTAACTTTCTAGTTATTACAATCTAAAAAAAAAAAAAAAATAACCCTCTCTGTAAAAGGGCTCTGCAGGGGTGTGTTGAAAATGTATTGTTGATTAAAAACCTGTCAGTGTGCGACCTGAAATTAGAGTAGTTAACATGAGCAATAGCGAAATGCATTTCCACCCTGTGAATGGCTTTTTAACAGTCTTTTTGTTAAATGGAAGATAATGCATTTGGTTCAATCCATGCCATCCATTTGCTTTTATTTAATATCTAGCACATGCTGTTCAGTCTTCAGGGTAGGACATGAGTACTTCCTCTCCCAGGTTTGCTGTAGCTGTCTCTTTTTTTATCCATTCTGTACGTAGATTGCTTCATTCAGATGATATGGGTATGCGCCTCTTGATGTCTGCGAAATCACCAAAAACGTCCTTCAAATGATTTCATTTCCCAGACATTTGCTCATTTACATGGAGCTCAGTGAATCAGCAAACTGTAATGCAGAGTGATTTGACTACGAGTTTAACTAAACATCAGTTCTAAGAGGTGTCATGCCGTTCGATCGTCCTCTAGATCCTCCTCTCACTGTAATGAGACGGTCAGGGATGCCAGGAAGGCTAAAAGTGGGTGCTTAAATGGCAGAAAATGAAATCATCAGGGGGTGACAGTGTCATTTTTGCCTCATTTGGTCTTGATGATGTCAGTGGTGCTTTGAGACCGAAGCAAACTCACCTGGCCTAAGGGGAATGATTGTCACCTTCATTACATAGTTTGTATCTCCTAGTTCTCTTTCTGTTAGCTGATTTTATTTTTGTATTTCCTTATTTATAGTCTAATTGCAGTGTTGCAGAATATGTGGACTGCTCCAGAAGAAGAAAAAGTTTGTTATCTATGCAGATATTGTAAATAGCACTTGCATTTTGCCCTAAAACCTGGAAAGGTTTCCTGAAGTGACTCCTGAAATGGGTTCAATACAAGGCTGCTTATCTACTTAATTGCATATAAGTAGCTAAATAACACTTTAGTTCACAGTTTAATCATTCATTTTTGTTCTGGATCTTTTCAGCTTCTGCAAGTGAGAAAAAAAATCCTTCTCCAAGTCAGTGGAGTGGTGTGGTGTTGTATTTTTTGGATCAGTGGAAGCATGTGTAACTTAGGATGCACCTTTTTATCATTGTTTAGCAGGCGGCTTTTTAATTCTTTCTCCCATAGCTTGTTCCAGACCTTTCATACCATCCTCTGCTTTTGTTGGTCCCTGGATACCTTCTTAATTTTCTCACATATTTACTCAACCGCCACATGTACCACCACATGAGGGGCGAGAACCTTTAATTGCTTTATTTTTCGTATTAATTCGGTTTCCAGGTGGAACCGCAGAGGGGATTAAGTCCTGTTTACTGCCTGCAATGTACCGGATGAAAAGCTTCGATCTGAAGGGGGATTTCTCCCGCACTGCTACTTAATCGAGCCATTCAAGTTTCTCTCTTCCCTATTCGTCTCCAATTTGCCATTATCTTCAAACGAACCTAAGATGGCGTGCTTTTGAAAGCATTAGAAGGATTACTTTTTTTTTTCTCCACAACTTTTTTCATCTATGCAAACTGAATTAATTTCACACAGAGATGTTTATGAATGCTCACATATATATGTGAATGAAATACAGTAAGCAAAAGCAATTTCCCTACAATTCACGACTCTGGTGTCAGCCCGGTTATAAGATTAGTCTTTTGATGCACATCACCAGACTCTAGCACTTGACTGAGTTGAGCATATTTCTCAGCTTGATCACTGGAAAGCCTTCTGCGAGTTTCAGAGATGCTTGACATTTATCAGTGCATGATCTTTTGTCCATTTACTTTAATCTTTTAAAATGGGATTATCTGAGAAATTCAGTCTAGATGCTCTGTAAAATCTTTAACAATGTGTGACAAAGCAATTGTATAAAATACTGCCAACATTTTTTCATGTTAGTCAAGACTCAACTGTCATGTTCTAGAGACCCATTATTGGTGGCTACAATATGGAATATTACAAAAACCAAACTACATCCATACGGAAGGAAGTAGCCAGTAGGAAAAACTTAAATCATATATCTATCACTGAGGTATCTCAATGAATAAATCCCACCATGTTAAACACATTTAAATTGCTTTTGTTTCCCAGGCACCCACAACCCCAAATAAGCCATGGCAATTCAATTGTCGAATTAATCTTGATAAGACTGCTGAAAATGCAAATTAAGAAATTTTCTTACTAAATCAAATTCTTTTTTAAATGACTAAACAATAGTTGTTTTTTTTAATTTTAAAATATGTTTTGTTTTTATCCAGTGATAATGTTGAATGGTATAAGCATAAATCTGTCACTGGGACATTCTTATAGTACTCAGTGCAAAGTTTCTAAAACTTGCTTAAGGACGACATATGAGATGAGAAGGAAAGTGGTTGCATAAAGATAAAGTCATTGTTTTTTAATGCCAAATGTTAGTGGTAGGGACGGGCCATATGACCCAAATATCACACAGTATGAATAATTTAATCACTGTAACATTATACCATGATATAGTTATTTTTTTCAAAACTAATCGTTATTTTTTTCTTTTTATTTAGAACTTGATGGATGCAAACCAAAAGATTATTCATAACAAAATAATGATCAAAATCTGACATCAAAAGTCTCAAAAACAGTAAAAACTAACAAGTAGTTTCAGAGTTTAATTCTAATTGAATAAAACCCTGATATTTGCACAGATATTGCAGATCTACTGCAAATATAAACAGAATAGCAGATTATTTTCCAGTTATCGTCATACTGCCCAATACCTAGTGATGTAATGATATCTCTGAAATTTCTACAATCACGTTAATCTTTCCATCCCTTCATTTCTTCATCCTACAGCTGTTTTCTGTCCCTTTTGCTGGTAGCTGCAGTGGTGTGGAAGATCAAACAGACCTGCTGGGCCTCCAGGCGACGAGAGGTATGTCACAAAACAGAAGAGACTTAAAGCGCTTCTCATTACAAGAATATAAACGTATATCTGATCTTTGTGTCAAATTCCTAGAAATTCCACAATTTCCAAATATCTGCTGATTTAACTGTTTGTCTGATATATCGGTTTATGGAATCACTTTACACTGTGGTAAAGTCTGTTTTCCGTTGTGTGGATTTTCCTTCTTATGGAATGTGATTAGTAACGCTTTAGACATGCGTATAAAGCATTGTCTGCCACATGAAACAGCTCTGCAGAATTCACTGCTTACAAACATGCCCATCTTCCTAATTAGGGGCCCTTATGAGCCAATTAGCTCTGACAGGAGTTATCTAATGCAGTTTAGAGCAAACTGAACAATAAGCG